ATCCTGTATAATAATAATACAATGGAGGGAGGTGTCTGGTGATCATGATGCCTCCTAACTTCTCTACAAAGTACGGTAGAGCAATGAAAACGGCACCACATGGAAGTGTATACATTTATCTTCACTTGGACACTAAATATTATGACCTAACTCATTTATTGTTCTTTTATTGCAAGGCGCATTTGTCTTGGTCAGATCTACGCATCATACAGTTACCTGTGAAAGTGTCATTGCCTAAAGCCCGGTTCCCACCTGGGTGTTTTTCCGCTCGTTCGTACTCGCGGAAAAACGCTCAAACAGGGAAATGCCATTATTTTCAATGTGCATGGTTCCCATCTGGGCGTTTTTCCGCGAGTACGAATGCGCGGAAAACCGCCCTACGCCCAAAGAAGTACATGCACTTCTTTGGGGAGTTTTGGTCGGGCGTTTCCATTGGGATACAGCCAAGTAGCCCTCGGAAACACGCGTTTTTTTTTTACCGTGAGTCGCGGTAAAAACGCGCGACGCGAAACGCATGACAAACGCGCATATTCAATATGCCTAGGTGTGAACCCAGCCTAACATTTCCAAGGAACAGTTGTGTGATATTTTCCCTCAGAAACAAAGATGCCTCGAAAGTGTGTAAACAACGCAGATAACTTCTGCTACATTAGTGGCGAGGTTACCGTATTTGCTGGCGTATAAGACTACTATTAATACTTAAAAACATCCCACGAAAATTGGGGGTCGTCTTATATGCGGGGTATACAATGTATACCTTTAGTTAGTTTGGGCCAAGCTAGCCCAAGCCACCTTGGCTTGGGCTATACTGAGCTTATGGTGATGGGAGGAGGGTAGTATGTGTCCTCCCGTTACCCTAAGGAGAACTATGGGGAAAAGCCTTAACCCCATAGTTCTCCTTTAATCTGAAGTTAGAGCTTGGCAGATTTTCATGCAAAAAGCATGAAAATGTTACATGAAAAACCAATAAATGAATGGAAAGTTTTGTTACTGGTATCAATAAAAAGATACATTTCTAATGATTGGTGTGGCACCATTCTCATTGCTATATCACATTTTGCAGAAATGTTATGGCGCATAATCGCACACCCCCCTCGTAATTTTTAATTATTTTGATGCAATTTTGACCTGAAGCTGTATCTTGGAAACTGGAGCCAATTAATATTCAGAACTTAATTTTCCTTTATTAGTGACCCAATTCTGGTAAAATTTAGCTGCTTTCATTTTCGAGGCTTTCTCCTTGTAGACCAGTGTTATTAGTATTCACATTAGTAACAGTCACAAAGTATTATTTCATATTTTCCTAGATTTTTCTTTATCCTAATATTAATATATAAATTAAATATATACAAAACCACCACACATTCCCTTTGCATTAGGCTGTGCATTCACATACACAGTATATACTTAAAGAAAGTTAGTTTCCTTTTAAAATTTCTATAACCTTAAAAGAGAACTATGAGGCGAGTGATTTTCACCCAACCTCATAGTTTGAGCCGACATGTGACAATGAAACTGTCGCACGTCAGCTCAATAGATCGGGAAGGGAGCGAACACATACCATCGCTCGCTCGCTTCTCGATCATGTCCCTGCAGAGAAAGGTGTTTGTCAGTCACGGCTCCCTGCAGTGATTCCTCCCCGCTCCGATCCAAGAGTGCTGACTAGCAGAACGGACGGGGGGAGGGGGCAGATACAGCTGGCTCTGCCTCTAGATAGGCAGAGCCTGCTGTCACCCCCGGCTGCGGCGGTCTCGGTATACCATGAGCTGTAGCGCGTGATATACTGAGCTTTGGGTCACGGGAGGACGCTAGTATATTTCTTGCCATGACCCTTAAGAGAGCTATGGGGAAAAACACTTACCCCATAGTTCTCTTTGAAGTATAGGAGTGGACTCATATACTTAATGAATCAAGTCAATCGATCCACCTCCAAGATGGCGGCAGGCATGCACAGTCTGCACACTAATTTATGTTGTCCGGGAGCCTGGCATGAAGACCTCCAGCCCTTGCTCTTTCACATTTTCAGCCACGCCAAGCAACATAAGGTTCTTAACCTGAACTCTAGGCAAGCAGCTAAATTCACAGGTGAAATACATATACGGGAGTTGTTTTACCTGTCAAAGCATTTGTAACTTTGCCTATCCAGTCCTGAGATTTACAAAGCTCTACTACACAACACAACCAAGTGGATGATGTCACTTTTAAGTTAAAGGAGAACTATGGGGTCAGTGCTTTTCCCCATAGTTCTTCCCAGGGTCACGGGAGGACACAAACTAGCGTCCTCACGTCAACCAAAGCTCAGCATTCCGCGATACTGAGACCGCCGCAACCGGGATGGATCCTGACATTACTGTCTGGATCCACTTAGCTGAGGCAGAGCCAGCTGTACTCACCCCCTCCCCTGTCCGTTCCGCCAATCAGCGCTGGAGGATCGGAGAGGGGGGGCTCTCTGCAGTGAAAGGATCGAGAAGGGAGCGAGCGACGGTATGTGTTCGCTCACTTCCCGATCTACTGAGCCGACCTGTGACAGTCTCATTGTCACACGTCGGCTCGAACTATGAGGATGAGTGAAAATCACTCACCTCATAGTTCTCCTTTAGGTTCCCACCTGGGCGTTTTATAGCATTACTACGAGCTATAAAACACTCAACATGTGAAAACCAATGATTGCCTATGGGCATGGTTCCCACCTGGGCGTTTTACAGCGTGTAGGAACGCGTCGGCTCGAACTATGAGGATGAGTGGTTTTCACTCGCCTCATAGTTCTCCTTTAAGTAATGCGGTGGTTCACTTTCCTTCCCCATGCAAAATGGTATCTGCCCCCTATTGATTGACCACCTTCCCCCAAAGAGATAACTGGGCTTAGTAATTGGTAGCGGTTGTGATGTCTTTTGGCCAATGATCGACTTGTAACATCACTAATCCCTGATATCTGATGACAGAACACTCCCAGATTGGGATTGCTTTAAAGTGACATTAAAGGATAAATGTTTTTCCCTCCCCCCCCCATGTTAATGTCAGCACTTACCTTAAATGATGTCTCTTATTCCGATCTCTTCTTTGCTGATGTTTTCATCTGTCCCTCCAGTGGTGCGGCGGCTCTCTGATCCAGCGCTTACTCCTCTCTGCTAGCAGGCACTTCCGATCCCACGGTGTCTGCATCCGGGTGCACGCGTCCATAGACTTACCTTGCGTCTCTGCTCGTCTCCCGGCCGAAAATCCGAATTGCGCATTGTGCCCGCCCCAAGATGCTTTCCGGCCGCCGGTGCAGTTTCGTTTTCTCGGGACGGGAGCGCGCAGCCGAAACAAGGTAAGTTTTAAGCGCTGTTAAATAGTTTTTGTTTTTTTTAAAAACATTTTGCCTATATCTGCTTGATAGCAGTAGATATAGGCAAAAAAGACGGGAGGGTTTAGAACCCCTTTAAGGAGAAGGAAACCTGTGTTGTCTTCGGTTAGAAGAACCTCATTCTTAGATAAAGATAAACCAGAATACTTACAATACCAGGCTCTGTGCAACTGAGATTTCTTTTTCTCTTAGCAGCTACAGGTTGTGCACTGAAGGTCTCATGTAACTAATAACTAATGTAAAACTCCCCATATATGACTGCCTTACTTCCCCTGTGGGTATCTTTTCTTTGTGCCAGAAGATTGGGGCACTCAAAACATTATTTGGCATGCTGCAGGCATACTCTTTCATTTACTCTTTTGTTTATAAAGCTGCCAGAGTTAATATGAGTTTCAGAACACTCCAGCAGAATACATTGCATAATGTGGGTAAAAGGCACTCAAAAAAGCATGTGCTATTAGGCTGGCACTCATTCTCAGTTAACAATGTATATTCAATCCATCAGAACACTTCAAAGGGCAAGAAAACATTATTATACTATTAAAATGTTTGGGCTTGCATAATATGGTTGGGTTTTAGGAAATGGAGAGGGGGATTGTGACAGGCAGATGAAAATACTATGAAGCAGTAGCTTGTCACCGATCGGCTAGTTTGTAAACTCAGCATTACTGCCGCCCGCTGTCTCTGTGTAGAGTATATGTTCAACCTTAAACCTTACCCCTTCGCGACCAGTGATGTGCATAGTACGTCACTGGCAGTGGGCCCGTTTAAACAGACTGTTTACATTTGTAAAGCCGACTGTTGTCTTTACAATAGAAGCGATTCTGGCGACTCAGCTGTCGCCAGATCGCTTCTTTGGGCCGGTAAACTGCCCGTCCCTCCCGCCATGTTTCACGGGCTCTGCTGCCCCTCCTCTGGGCCCAGGACAGGCTTCTCGGGTGTCAGTGGAAATCTGGGAAGGAGAGCGGCGAACGTACGCTCACCGATCTCCTCCCTGTTCTATGGAACTGGGAGCGATGCAGATTGCATCCCTTCTGGTCCCATAGCTGTCAGTGCTGGGCTCCTGAAGCAATGAGTTATGGATGTGCGATAAGCACTTCAAATCGCTTATTTACAGTGTAAAGGTGACACTGGGGGTCTTTTGGACCCCCAGTGTCACCTTAAAAAATACCTGTCACCACCAATATGCTATCACATGGGGGGCTTTTTGGGGTACTGAATTTTGTTGCCGTTTCACAGACGCACACAATTTTTAACTTGGGCATGTTGGGTATCTATTTACTCATTGTTACCTCATCATTTATATTTTATAAAAAAAAACAATGGGTATTTTATTGTGTTTTGGGGCACTAAATTTAACTTAAGCGCATTTTTTACTACATTTTTGGGTTTGTTAAGTTGCGCCAATATCGTGCAACATAAAAATTTGTAACTGCCACCATTTTATTCTACAGGGTCTTGGCTTTCAGAAAATATATGTTTGGGGGTTCTAAGTAATTTAATACGTAATTAAGTAATTTAATAAGTATTGTACATCATTTTGGAATTACTTGAGCATTATCTGGCACACCTTAAGTACTGTTGCATTTTCTTATCTCCTAATTCACTTCCCGCCGAATCCGTGGAGTCGAAAATTATTTCCATTACAGCTCTATTAGGCTCCCTGCTTGTTGCAAGTCTCCAGGGGGCTGGTGAAATCAGGCCAAAGTTCCAGCAACTCTTGTGGTGTAAAATGGTGCACTGTGACCAGACTGGCAAACTGGCACCTGTCATACTTCATTTTTTCTCCTAAGAACCAATTGCCTGCTGGTTTGGAGATTTGAATTCCGATACTTTGAAGGCACATTCCTACAAAAACATCCTCAAATGGGAATATGTTGATGTCATGGGCTTTCTTGTATATCCTTCCTGCCAGGTCTCCGGAGAAGATGTAGCTAGTGCCAGAGCAATATGATGGATAGACGTCTTTGGAGTACTGTGACAATGGCATATACCACTTGCTGCTTTTGTCTCTCTGGGGCGAAGCGCTGTCTACCACCAGCCCAGTATAAAAATTCACGTTGACAGGACTGGAAGGCAGCAAGACCTTATCCATCAAAAACCAAGGGTTTAGGAACATGTCAGAGTCGATTTTCATAACGTAGCTCACATTTGGGCATAAGCGACTGACCCATTCAATGCCCATCAATGTCTTGAGGGTGAGATTGTTGTAGGAGTCTATAAAGTCTTGCTGTATTATGTCATGGAAGTTGGAGCTCTCCAACATGACCTTCTCCTGAATTTCCTGACTAGATGATCTCCCTAAGAGAAAAAGTCTTGTTGTATTAACACCATTGACCAAGGTCTCATTTGCCCATGTCTTCCTTAAGGTATCTCTATTTAGATTCTCTTGAGGTATGGAAGGGATAAGCAGCAGCAGGAATGGAGGACCACTTGCACATTTCTGGTCTTCTTCTATGAGGTAAGGGTACATAGGGTTAGGAGGGACTTCCTTGGCAGGAATATTCTTAACAGTGGTGAACGCTTTGAGCTTTTTACTGGTGTAGAAACTGTAGCTAATTAATATAAGAAAGATGAGGATGAGGAATAGAGCTTTTTTCGGAGGTGACCCCATCCAAATGCCTTCCTGTGTACAGAAATAAATATTTTGTTATTCCTTCCAATTACTTAAAAACTGCATTCAATTCTAGTAAAACAATAGAATACACAGCATAGTCCCACAAAAAGTTTAACACAAAAGAAAACCTCATAATGACTCTGTCAGAAGGTCATCAAAATCCCAAAAGAACTAACCTATAAAAAAAAGGATTCAAACAGTCCTGTTCATTGGCCCGTTTCATAAAACGTCTCTCTGTAGGAGAGCTCCCGCTGCCGATCTGATTTGACTCCTATAGCAGGTTGAATAGTGAGTCACCCTGCTGGTGGCTGTAGTTCCTCCTGCTGAGGAACTACAGCCACCAAGACACAGTAGTGACGTAGGGCACACACTATTCTACACACTCCAAACTATGAAATAGGATCATCCTAGCAGATCTGCTACAGAATTAAGTTTTAGCAAACAGGTCTGAGGACAAGAATGTATAAAGCTGTTTCCTTCAAACTTTGGTTCTTCTGTGATTTAGTGACCCACTGACAGGGTAACTTTAAATAGAATATACACTCACTCGCCGCTTTATTAGGTACATCTCTTCAACACAAATATCTAATCAGCCAATCACATGGCAGTAACTCAATACATTTCGGCATGTAGACATGGTCAAGATGGTCTGCTGAAGTTCAAACCGAGCATCAGAATGGGGAAGGAAGGTGATTTAAGTGACTTTGAACATGGCATGGTTGTTGGGGCCAGAACTGCTGATCTACTGGGATTTTCACACACAACCATCTCTCGGGTTTACAGAGAATGGTCTGAAAAAGAGAAAATATCCAGTGAGCGGCAGCTCTCGGGGCAAGAATACCTTGTTGATGTCAGAGGAGAATGGGCAGACTGGTCCAAGCTGATAGAAAGGCAACAGTAACTCAAATAACCACTCGTTACTTCTGAGGTCTGCAGAATACCAACTCTGAACACACAACACATTGAACCCTGAAGCAGATGGGCTACAGCCACAGAAGACTACACCGAGCGCCACTCCTGTCAGCTAAGAACTGCAAACTGAGGCTACAGTTATTAATGGCTAACCAAAACTGGACAATAGAAGACATTGAAAAACGTTGCCTACTCTGATGAGACTCGATTTCTATAGTGACATTTGGATGGTCGGGTCAGAATTTGATGTAAACAACATGAAAGCATGGATCCATCCTGCCTTGTATCAACGGTTCAGGCTGGTGGAGCTTCACATCATGGATGTGCAGCCGACAAATCTGCAGCAACTGTGTGATGCTATCATGCCGGTGTGGACCAAACTCTCTAAGGAATGTTTCCATCACCTTGTTGAATCTATGTCACGAAGGATTAAAGCAGTTCTGACAACAACAAAAATTGGTCCAACCCGGTACTAGAAAGGTATACCTAATAAAGTTGCCAGTGAGTATATCTTCTGTATGGCAATGGCACTCTAGTGATCTGGTCCGTGGCAACAACTCACCAGCGTAATGGTCAGACTTAGCTATTTGTTGGTCATTACTGAGCACTGCAGCCCAGGTCTCTGTAGTGCACTCCTATCTCATTTAGAAGGGGTCAATAGACTAGTCAATAATCTACTAACTCAGGGCTCAAAATTTCAGGTCCTGAGCTACTAGCCAGGCCTTAAGAGTCACTAGCCACCAGTTGCCCCACCTAACCCTTATGGCCGTGACACACTGCACGCGAAGCCGTGCAGAACGAAGCAAAGCTATCCGGCACGGAGCTTTGCGTGCAGTGTGTGAGCTGAGTGCAGGCAGATGATTGACTGCACCTTCAGCCAATCGGCTCGTGTTTAACAACCGGCGAGACGTCGCATCCCGCCGCCCCGGTTTATACGCACGAGCCCATTGGCTGAAGTTGAAATTGTTCATCTTGGCACGCTCAGCTCCGCGAGCTCTCACCAGCTGAGGTGCCCAGGAGAAAATGACATGACACACTGCTCGCAAAGGCAGCACGCCACCGCTGTGCGCTGCTTCGCGTGCAGTGTGTCATGGCCTTAACTCTGCCCCGGCCTTAACTCCGCCCCTAAACACACCCTCTTAAATAATCTTATGATAATTCTTATCTTATGATAGTTGCCGCTTGTAAACGGCAGATTAGGGATTCCTGCTGCAGGAAAACGCAAGTTCCTGACACAGGAATCTCTAATCACAAGAAAATGACATGACACACTGCTCGCAAAGGCAGCGCGCCACCGTTCCGCGCTGCTTTGCGTGCAGTGTGTCACGGCCTTAACCCTGCCCTGGCCTTAACTCCGCCCCAAAACACACCCTCTTAAATAATCTTACAATAATTCTTATCTTATGATAGTTGCCCCTTGTAACCGGCAGATTAGGGATTCCTGCTGCAGGAAAACGCAAGTTCCTGACACAGGAATCTCTAATCACACCTGAAATATACTGTAGGTGTGAATGGGGCCTAATGTACACATACACTAAAGGTGTCCATACACCTGCCGATTATCGTACGATAGTTGTGGGTGATCCCGCGATCGTACGATAATCGGCAGATGTATGGGCAGCGTGTGACTGCTGCTACCGTACGGTCGCACGACTTTCGTCTTCCAAGTACGCTGGAAAACCTGGCGAAAATCGTACGATTTTTGGCGGGTTGGTGGCGTCGTCGGAAGACGATTGCCGCACGGGCGCACACTGCCCGCTCAGCACTGCAATCATCGGAAGCGCGCCCCTCAGCGGGTGTAATGGTCGTACCCCGGCGAGGGCCGGTGCCGCCGTCCGTCGCGGGCCTGTGCAGACACGTCGGGTCCTCTCCTCCTCGGGTCGCGCACATCGGGTGACGGCTCCTGGTGTCAGTGCCCGGAATCGTGCTGCGCAGGCGCGTGGTCGATCGCCGGCGCCTCTCTCTCTGCCGGGAGATGCGTCCTGCGCAGGCGCGCCCCGTAGCTCCGCCCCCTCTAGAGCGAGCGCTCGGCTTAAAGCCGCCGCTCGTTAGTTGATCGGCGTCCCACTATTGATGTAGGTGGACGCTGATCAACTCAGCACGCCACACGCTCC